CAGAAAAATGAGACGAGTGTCAAGGTTGAAGAGCAGGAGCCTGATATCAGGAAAAATGAGGTTAAGGATGTTGTTACAGCCCAGTTGAGAAATTATCCTTACCCTGTTGTGTGGATTCCACCTGAAAGCATGAAGAATCAAGAAGATAAGAAACCTTTCAAATCAGAGGTTAGTGATTGGGATAAGGCACATGGTGATACAGATTCTGCCCAAGCTGTGAAATCTCCTGAACGGGAGCCAAGAGTCTGGAGTTGGTTTCCACTTGATATGAATGGTTTTAAGTGTTCAATGGAGGGGGATGATGGGAGGAAGATTCAGAATCAACAAAATGAAAGTAAAATGAGACAGTTCCCATTCCCCATCATCCCGATGCCTTATGAGAATCAGGAGGATGCTAAAAATCAGGATAATGGGAAGTTAATATCTGCTTCAAAGTACTCTGAAGGGGCTCCTACTAATTTCAAGTTTGTTCCTGTGGAACTGCCAGCAAAAGACGGGCACATGAAGGAACCTGAAGCAGATGAAGGCACTCATGCTAAGAGTGGTTCTGGTATAACAGGACAAGCTGCTGATAAAAAATGCATTCCTGTGAAGCAACTGGAGGTTCAAAGGATGGATAACTCTGAAGAAATAGAAAGGAGGGGCAGAGATGTTACTGTGAAGCAGGTAGAAGGTGATGCAAAGGATAAAGCTTCAGGGACTCGTGAAAAAAGAGAATCTTCACCCCCACCAAAATCCAAGCTACCTCCTGTTTGCCTGAGAGTGGATCCCTCGCCAAAGAAGAAAAATGGTAATGGCAGTTTGAGTTCTCCTAGTCCTCCTAGGTCTAAGGGACAAACAACAGAGAAAGTGAAAGCAACCATTGAGTCCTCTGCTGGACAAGGCTTAGAAGAAGACTCCACAAGAGATAAGCAAACTCAAAATGGTAGCACAAGCCAGGTCAAAGGGGTGGAGCCTAAGAAAAAGGAGATAAAAAACATCCAGGTAATAGAAAAGAGATCAGAGGATAACAAGGCTGGAGAACATACCTGCGAGCATCAGGCCGAAATTTTATCATCCAAACATGTTGATTCTCAAGAACAGGTTTGCAGTAAACAACCAGAGAAAACTGAAAATGCTGGTGCAGAATGTAAAATTGAAGAAGCTGCAAGATTTGAGGTGGCAACTGAAGGAAAGAAAGCAAATGATCCTGCAAAATCAGCGCATATTGAATGTAAAGTAGAGAAAAGGCAGTTGTCAGATGTTGAAGCTGCAATGCTCCTTCAGTCAGCATACCGTGGGTTTGAGGTGAGGAAATCGGAGTCACTGAAGAAATTGAAGCAAATGACCAAAGTTCAAGAGCAGATGGCTGAGGTTAGACATCAGATTCAGGCTCTCGAGTCTTCATCTGATCTCCATAAAGATGATAGGCTCAGATTGGTAATTGGAGAAAAGATTATGAGCCTTCTATTGAAATTGGACAGCATTCAGGTATGTCATATGTGCACAACTTGTTAACTTGATGTTGCTATTCATCTATTAAATCGTTTTTCATATGCTCTATGCCGTTTCAATTATTCCTATTTCCACCAATTTTTTGTTAGTGTTGTTCTGTGCAGTTGTAGTCCTTAGCATGAACCAAAAAAAAAAGAAGAAGAAGAAGGATGAAACACTAATAAATATTGTTTAGAATTCATAGCATGACTATGTTCTTACTTGTTTTTTGGTTTCATTTCTTGATTACATAAGGGTTTACATCCAAGTCTCAGGGACATTAGAAAAGCATTGGCAAAGGAGCTTGTGACCCTTCAAGAAAAGATTGATTCTCTAGTGAGCAAGCAGACTAAAGAATTGGTTGGGGAGTTAGCCACATCTAAACTTGCACATGTTATGGATGATGATGGACATAAAGAAGTTAGCTTGCTGGAAATACAGAACAAGGGAACATTAGGAGTTGATGAAAACTCTTCTGAGCGTGCCCATGATGGTGGTAAAAATGTGAGGGAACCAGTTCTTGAGCAAGTTAGCTGTGTGATTGATGTAGCTCCTGATTCCATGGGTGAAAAAACTGCAGAACTTGTGGTTGTTGAACAAGAATTTGAAGAGGAACAAGAAAAAACAACTAAAGAATCACAACTGATTAGAGACCTGGGTTGTCAAGAAGAAAAATCATTGCCATCTATGGCACTAGAAGGTGAAACTCACAACAATTGTGCTCTAGATATGGCGGATATCTTAAATAATGACGTGCCTCCCATGCTTGAGCACTCTGTCTACCTTCCATCAGTTCCAGAAAAGAACTACTCAGATGAATTTATGGGACTTAAAGAGCTAGTCCATGATAAAGATGAAGATGGAAAAACCCAGCTGGATGGAGAGAATAATGGAGTGCCAGTTACTGAGAACCCAGAAGGGGATAAGCCAAGGTCACTGCCACTGTTGAAAGCTGATGAGTTATATGCTACTTATGGGTTAGAGAAACAGATTGAAGATGGGGAACGAGAAACAGAAGACAGTTCAGTGGAAGCAAACATACCAATCAGCTCACCATTGCCAATTGTGACTGAAATCTCAATGCGTCCTGAGAAAGACTGGGAAATTGATGTGTTGAAGGAGTTGCCTGTTGGAGTAGTGGAAGAAGAG